AAGGCAAGAGTGAGGACCAGGCTGCGGAGAGCTCACCCTGGCCAGCAGCAGCCAACTTCTGAGGATAGGGATGAGCTGGAAGGCAAGAGTGAGGATGAGGCTGCAGGGAATCCTCCCAGCTGGTGGCAGACAACTCTTGGGGGTGTGGGTTGGGGTGACTAAAATGCCTGGCCCCTGCTTTTTTAGGTACCAGTTTTTGTTTTATTTATGTTTTCCTGGGGGTTTGTAAGGGTAGAGATCACTCTTGTCTTTCCTGTCTTTAAGTGACATGCTGAGTTAGCTCTCAACTTGATTCTCAGGGGGTTCCAGCTCTTGTTAGATTCTCGAGGCTAAAAAAATGAGATTTCCTTGGGCAGTGCCTGTGGCTCAAGGAGTAGGGTGCCGGCCCCATATGCTGGAGGCAGTGGGTTCAAACCCAGCCCCAGCCAAAAACTGCAAAAAAAAAAAAATGAGATTTCCTTTCAGTTTTTTCTGCTCTTCGAAGCACTTTTACCTTTGCCCCTTAGCCTGTCCCCTGCAGAGGGTACTATCTGGGCCAGGTCTCTTTGGGTGCATTCCTGAAAAGTCCCTGGAAAAGGCTGGATAGACTTGAGCCATGTGTCAACGTGACATGGCTTCTGATAAAGCTGTCACATTTTTTTGTTTGGGATTCATTGAGGGTACACTGATTAGAATTAGGTTACACTGATTATATTTGTTAGATAAAGTCCTCTTATAATTGTGTCCTGCCCCCAAGAGATGTGCCATACGCTGTGACCCCCCCCCATCCTCCCTACCCTCCCTGCCATCACATTTCTTTGAAACTTAAATTAATCTGGCCTTTAGGCTGAGGTATGGGTGCCACAAGTAATGTGTGACTGTAGACATGGTAGGTTGGCCTTTTATGGACAATAAAGTCCTGTGGAAAGAACTCTTAATTATGAGGTGCTTTTAGAAAACAGCCAGAAGTCCTATTGAGGAATACCTTTCAGAGCTGTAAAGTGCAGAGGGGTTGAGAGAGGGCTGAGTAGGCCGACGTGCCCAGGAAGGCAGCTGTGCCCAGGGTGTGTGGATCCCTCACAGGGACGTTTTTGATTGGGATGGTGAGGTGGCTAATCAATCTAGTATCTGTGCACCGGACCACCCTGGACACCACACACGCTCAGCAGCACACTGGCTCATGTGTACCAGTCTGTGTTAGAATGTCCCCCCCTCCAGCAGCCATCTTGCAGCAGCTGGGCTCAGTATTCATGGATTCAAGGTGCTGCTCATCTAACTTTGGTTCTTAAGACCAGAACTTTGTGGGGCGAGTGTGTGGTTATAAGACCTCTGTCCTCACAACTGTACGTAGGGAGGGGGTGGGAAGGGGTAGAAAGCCGTTTAACTTACTCTCTGTCTAACTTGATGGCGCTTTCTCCCTCAGGGCACAGCTCCCTCCTTTCCCCTTTTAGATTTTGGGATATTGTGGCAGGTGGACTGATTATGGGATACGGTTGCCGTGCTTGAGACATCAGTTTGTACAGTGAGCCCTTGCACTTACCTTGTCTAAAGGTACCTTTGTCTCTAGGCCTTGAGTTGCCCCAGCCTTGCTGTGGTGTGCTTCCAGGGAGCCCTGCAGGGGCAGGTGCCTTTCTGGAAGTGCCACCTGCCTGAGGTGAGGGACAAATGCCTCAGCCAGAACTGTGATCCATTTGCTTGGCACCTGGCCTGTGGAGCAAGACTGTGCCTTTCAGCTGAGCTTCCAGTCACTGGACTCTGACCTGCTCAGGGAGCCACAGAAGAGCCAGGTGCAATGTGGCCTTGTTTCTACTTCTCAGGAAAGGGCATGGGGCCTGCCTTGACCCCTTCCTGCCATGGGGCATCTCTCTCTCTCTCCTGCCCCTCTGACACCAGAGTGACTCACCAGAGTCACCCTCCCTTCTGGGGTTTGGTGTGCAGCTGGGCTCATCTTCGTGGGTTTCTGCGTTGAGGTTGTAGGCGAGAGGCTTGGCTTTTTTTTATCTTCTCTACTCATCTCCCTGTTCTGTGGCTGCCACATCTGATGGGTAGACTCAGCCACCTGGGCGTGCTGTCTTTCTGAGCAAGTGCACGTCTTGTTCCTGCCCTCTTGCTGGGTGGCCTCTCAGAGGCAGCAGCACAGTGGACAGTCCATGTGACCCCTGGGTTACAATCAGTAGCTCTTAATCTACCCACATACAGAAATACTTGGAAGCATTTCTCTGTACATGGCACTTTATGTTTTCTCCTATTCAAATCTGCACGTTCCTCTTATGTCTGGACACATAAGATCTTCAGAGAACTACTTCCACCTGCCGGCATGGCTTTGGGTTTTCACTCTGCTCAGGTGGAGCGTTCATTATGTACACTCTTCCATGCAGTGTTGCGGGATAAGGTGCCAACTGTGTTCATCTTCCCATCACTGAAGCCCCGGAAGTAGCTGCCTGCATGGCGCTGGGGAGAGGGCCTGTCAGTATGTCACCAGCAGGGCCGAAAGGCCTCCTGCATCCCAGAGCTTCTTTGGCACAGCTCCCAAAAGAGTATAGGTCACAGTCCTTCCTCACAGCTGGGGAACCCCTGAAGCTCTGAGAACCACAAGCTTTTCCTTACCTGCCTGGTAGCACACCTGGCCCGAGCTGACTCAAGCTGGCCATGGTCTCCTGTGTTCCTCTTGTGGACCATGCCTCGTGCACACAGCTTGAAGGTGAGGTGACTTTACAGGATGCTCCTTTAAACTCTGCTGCACCACCTTTCTACAGTCAGAATATTTCTGAATTCCCAAAACACATCTCTAACACCACAGGTTTGAAGGGGTTATGGGTCTATATACATATACATATATATATATATATTTTTTTTTTTTTTTTTTTTTTTTTTTTGAGACAGAGCCTCAAGCTGTCGCCCTGGGTAAAGTGCTGTGACATCACAGCTCACAGCAACCTCCAACTCCTGGGCTCAAGCAATTCTCCTGCCTCCGCCTCCCAAGTAGCTGGGACTACAGGTGCCTGCCACAATGCCCAGCTATTTTTTGGTTGCAACGGTCATTGTTGTTTGGCGGGCCCAGACTGGATTTGAACCCACCAGCTCAGGTGTACATGGCTGGTACCTTAGCCACTTGAACCACAGGCGCTAAGGCCCCCCCCCCTTTTTTTGGCAGGGGCTGGGTTTGAACCTACCACCTCTGGCATATGGGGCCAGTGCCCTACTCCTTTGAGCAACAGGCACTGCCCTGGATCTATATTTTCACACCCATCTTACAGGCCAGGGGCCCCAGTTCCAAGTGGGTGGTGTACAGCCCAGGTGGCAATGCCTGGTGAAGCCTCAGCCCCAGTGCTTGGCTGCCTCTGATGCAGCAGCCCCATATGGTGGGTTTTTTTTACCTGCCTCATTCAGGAAACTTCGGTGTGGAATAATTTCTGTCTTGTTTTATTAATATAACTAATCCATGATCTTTTTTTTTTTTTTTTTTTGCAGTTTTTGGCCAGGGCTGGGTTTGAACCTGCCACTTCCAGCATATGGGGCCAGCACCTTACTCCTTTGAGCCACAGGTGCCACCCAATCCATGATCTTTTTTTAAGAAAAAAAAAGAAAAAGAAAAACCGGGTTCAGTGGCTCATGTCTGTAGTCCTAGCACTCTGGGAGGCCGAGGCAGGTAGATCACCTGAGTTCACAGGTTCGAGACCAGCCTTAGCAAAAGAGACCTCATCTCTAAAAAAATAACTGGGCGTTGTGGCAGGCCCTGTAGTTCCAGCTACTCAGGAGGCTGAGGCAAGAGAATTATTTGAGTCTGAGAGTTAGGGGTTGCTGTGAGTGATGACACCATGGCACTCTACCCAGGTCAAGAAAATGAGACTCTGTCTCAAAAACGAAAGAAAGAAAAAAAGAATCTGCAGAAAGAAGGAAGTGGGCTGGGCCTGGGACTATAATCCCAGCACTCGGGAAGGCCAAGGCTGGAGGATCATCAGAACCCAGGAGTTTGAGGTGGGTGCCTATAGTCTGAGTAACTCGGGAGGCTAAAGCAGGAGGATTGCTTGAGCCCAAGAGTTTGGGGTTGCTGTGAGCTATAATGATGCCACTGCACTCTAGCCTCAAGGACAGAGTGAGACTCTGTCTCAAAGAAAATAAAAAGTGAAAATCTCCTGTATCGTTGCTCTCAGGGAGAATTGTATTTGGCACATTACCACTAAAGAGTTTTCCATTAAAATGGTGACAGTAGGACTGATCATTCATCAAGTCCTTGGTTCTTGTGCTCTGTGCAGGCTCGGGTGGTGCTCTGCAGAGAGAGTGGCCCCACGGGCTGAGGGATGTCTCCACAGTCACACCTCTATGCTGCCAGACTTAGGTCTTGAACCCAGATCTTTTTTACCTGTTGTGTGTGTGTTGTAAGACTCGTGAGGCTAAAGTGGATGCCACCCTTCACCCACGTGCACATTTTCCCTGCTGTGAGGAAGCACCAGGGAAAGGTGTGCTCAGCACCGTGACTGTCCTTCAGGTGCAGGCAGACTGCAGGCCTGTGCCCGCCCCTTTCAGTGTTATGTGGTGCCCTTCAGCCTACTCAGCAGTGTCTGCTTACAGCTTTGTGGTACTGTCCTACTTGTAGACCCACCAGCTTGTTGCCAGCTGGTCCACTTGAGCCTCTACTTGTATCCTCTGCCACCTGCATCTGTGGTCCAGGTCACAAGGAGGCCTAATGTCATACCACCTGTGGCACATGAGGTATGACAGCCTTGAGCAGCAGCCCTGTGGGGTCTGGCTTTAGAACGGTTTCTTGAGTTGTCTAATAAGGATGTCCAACCTTCGGCCCACAGGCCACATGTGAAGCTGTCCTGCTTATCTGTGGTGCTGGATATCACAAAAATTATGTATGGACTTTTTTTGGCACTTCTGACAAGTGGAACAGATGTTTTTTGCTCATCAGCTTTTGTTAGTATTTGTATATTTACTGTGTGGCCCAGGGTGACTCTTACTGTTCCAAAGTGTGACATAGAAGAAGAAAGATTTAAAAACTTGTTGCCGTCATCTGTTATCACTTTAAAAAATGTGCTAAATGAATGATTAGTTGAAAATTCATGTTTTATTGCTGAATGAGTGATTGTTTTTGTTTTTTAACTAAAAGAGGCTGGACGCCCAGCCCACCTGTTTGTCTTGCCCTTTGTCCTTGCAGTTGTCGGGACTACATGGCTGATTGCTGCACAGATGCTGGTCTGTGCTCTTGGGATTGGAATTCTGTCCTGGGTGCTTCACCAACAGTCTGCCCTGTTACTGACCAATGCTGGTGACCTAGTGGTGCCCCTCTGACTGTTGCTGGTGGCCAAATGGTGCTTGGTTGATGTGACTACTTGCCCCGCTGAGGTGGCCAGGTGGTTCCTTTCTGCTTCTGTGTTTTGCAGAAACACACCTCTTTACACCTGAACCCAGACTGCTGAAAACTATTGTTCTATACTCATCATTTCAACTCCTGTGAATTCATTTCCAAGTGAACTCAGAAGATTTAAATGGATCTTAACTTTTCAAATGAGTTTTCTTTTTCTGTAATGGAAACAAAGAGAGAATGTGTCTCGAAGTTAGAGTTGAGCCTACATTAAATATGATATGATTACTACACTAAAACCTTCATTACTGTATGAGAATAGTAGTCAAGAGAAAATGCAAAGTAAAAATCTGGAGGAGAGAGATCTCCTGTCATGTTTTCTGTGATCATTTCTTTAAAAATTAGATTTCTTAGGCTGGGCGTGGTCGCTCACACCTGTAATCCTAGCACTCGGGGAGGCTCATAGGTTCAAGACCAGCAAGAGCAAGACCCCACCTCTATAAATAGCCAGACCTTGTGGCAGGCACCTGTAGTTCCAGCTACTCAAGAGGCTGAGGCAAGAGAATCGCTTAAGCCTGAGAGTTTGAGGTTTGCTGTGAGCTGTGATGCCACAGCCCTGTACCGAGGGTGACAAAGTGAAACTCTGTCTCCAAAAAAGAGAAAAACAATAATTTCTTGGCTATTTTAAGGATAGAACTCTCAGGAATCTTCATTATAAAATACTTCTTAATAAAAAATATTTTCAAGGCAGAAATTATGCAAATATTAAAACTTTAAAAGGTTAAGTCATTATAAATCCAGGTTTTGATTTTAGCATTTCTTTATCCAACAAATAGTTATTGACTATTCACTACAAGGCAGAAGCTGCCCAGCCCCAGGGACCCAGGGGTGAGTAGGCAGACAGTGGGGGTGTGGCAACGACAGGACATTCAGATGCAGCCAAAACATGTGGCAGGGGCTGGGGCTGAAAGGACCCTCGTGCAGGGTGTGCAGGGAAGGCCTCCCCAGGGTCTGACATGGAGTTGGATGGTGAGGGCAGAGGAGAGGGAAGAATGTGATCAGCTTGGGATTTAGAAAGGAATTTGCACTGTGGGGTACAATCTGGAGGAGCCCAGTTGAGAAGTGGCTCCAGCAGGCCAAGTGAAGACTGGTCTGAGGTCTGGAAGAAGGTGGTGTTGCTGAGGGGTGCGGTTCATGCTGGCCCTGCTGTGGCACCGGAAGTGGCCAGGATCTTTCATCCTGGACATGCAAACCTTGACCTAGTCTTGTTGCCAGGGATGTCTGGAGGGCAGCTGGGTGTCCACTTGCTCTGGGGGTGGCTTGAGAAGGGTCTCAGCTGCAGGCCAGTAGGTCAGGGTTCTGGGACAGTAGGTGGCTTGGGCAGAGCAGTGGTGGGGTCTTGGCTGTTCATTAGAATGGGGGAGGGGGGTGCTAGACCCAGACTTTGGTCTTTGTAAAGCTCCCGGGTTATTGTTTTAACAAAATTTGATGCCAAGGCAGGGCATGGTGGCTCATGCCTGTAATCTTAGGACACTGGGAGGCCAACGCAGGTAGATCTCCTGAGCTTAGGAGTTCAAGACCAGCCTGAGCAAGAGCAAGACCCCATCTCTAAAAAATAGCCAGGCATTGTGGAGGGCGCCAATAGTTCCAGCTACTAAAGAGGCTGAGGCAATAGAATTGCTTCAGCCCAAGAGTCTGAGGTTGCTGTGAGCTATGATGCCACAGCACTCTACTGGGGGCAAGAAAGTAAGACTCTGTCTCCAAAAAAAAAAAAAATTGATGCCAAGGTTGGGAACCCAGGGCTAAGAACTAGCTCCAGGTGGGCCTGGGCCCATGTAAGTGGGCGGGTGGAATTGTTGGCCTGAGTCCCTAACTTTCTCCCCGACCCAAGACTAAATTAGAGGAAATTGAACCTGAAGTGTAACCATGTCATGCTCTAAGTTGTTAATTAGGGGGAATATCACAACGTGCCTCATACAGTGAGAGGTGTTCTGCCTGATATTCCTTAGTCTAAGTAATGCTTAGAGCTTTTAGGTAAGCTTTGTACAGGTGTACAGTCCATGATTTGGGAACTTGACCTGAATTGGTAAGGGCTAAGGCACCGTCGTTGAAAATACCTAATTTCCCAACTTTCAGTTTTTTC